TTTATGGCTTGTGAATATTGGTCTTTTAACTTTTGTATAACTATTCGTGTTCTTCATTTCCAACTTCTCCCCCCCCCCCCCCCCCCCCCTTCCTACTGTAATGCCCCATGGCGCTGTAGGTATCTGAATAAATAAAAAATAAATAATTTCAATCACCTGGGGTTCTTTTGACGTGCAACTGAAAGCTCGGTTACACGGCGCCTTCTCCGCAATAAGCCTCCGTCAGATTGCGGGCACCTCGGCCGGGATTCGAATTCGCCACATGGGGATCCGTAGGCCGGCGCTCTCACCTCGGAGCCACCGTGGCGGCTGGCGCATCGACAACGGAGGCTATATTGCGCCAATTTAATGTTTTTTAGCTTGCACTAAAGAAAACGGTTTAAGATAACTAGTATAAAAAAAATACAACAGCTGTATGAATCCAGTTTTCTTTAGGCAGTCGAGAACACGGTGAAGAGGCACCAAAGGGCAGTCACCAAGTAAAAACATTGGATGAAAGGAAAGAGAACCTCTAAAAAGTTCAAGGAAGCTCGACCGGCGCAATTCATGGTGAAATGGGCAACGCCATGATCTGTGTAACACTGTAAGTCCTTTCCCACAATGGGCACAGAGCTTTACAGTTTCGTCACGAAGAAGGTGCAAGTGCGTCAAGCGTGTGTGGCCAATCCTCAGGCGGCAGAGCAGAACCTCTACACATCATTCCCTGCGAAATGAGCTCTCGCACAGTGCCAAAACGGGCTTAATGACATGAAGCTTCTTGTTACATTTTCTGTCTCACTGCAACTGCCATGATATCAAGAGTGATTTCTTCAAAAGCGGTTTCAAATCCTGATGGGGTAAGCCACAAGTTGCTGTTAAATCCTTGGCAGATGCAGCCAACCTATCGGCTTTCTCATTCCCTGGAATCCGGACATGACTGAGTCGGTACCCAACAAAATTTCATGTCATGTCCGAGTTGGAAAGTTCCATATAATTTACCTCGTACTTGTAGAGTGAGAAGATTTTTTTGTAGGGAGCACTCAGGACACAGCCAGTAACGCGCTTTGAGAATCATCAAAGAGAATAGCTTTCCTTATATTGTTTTTTAGTATGTGATCAACAGATAGTAAAATGCCATACAGCTCTGCAGTAAAGATGCTTGCTACACAGTTAAGCTGAAGAGATTTCATGAAGGAACCAGAATTTACGGCACAGCCTACAAAAAACGAGGATTTCGACCCATCGGTATAGAATTCAGTGTAACCTCTATATGCCTCCTGCAATGAAGTCCCAATCGTTTGCGACTGACACTTACAAAATACAGTAAGCGGGTTACCTCCCGACAATTTCTCCAGCAGGAGGATTTCCTGCTGGAGAACTTGTGGGGAGGTAACCCTCTTACTGTATTTTGTAAGTGTCCAGTCGCAAACGATTGGGACTTCGTCCCGAGGAGCAACTCTGCCTCTGTAATTTAGCACGTCAACATCATGAGGTGGGGCATGAAAGGAGGCACCGAAATTTCGAATGCGAAAGTTGAGTGGCCGTACAATGCTTGGCTTTCGTTCAAAAAGTCAAGAGAAACGACAGGTATAAATGGCACTGTAAGCTGGGTGTTGTGGATTATAATAGACCCGATAAGCATAACAAAGACTCAGGTACTGCCTGCGTTTCTCAGGCGACATCTGGTGCGTATTAGCATATAGGCTTAACACAGGTAATGGGCGAAATGCACCGGAGGCAAGTCTGAGCTCTAAATGGTGAACTGGATCTAGCATCTTCAAAGTAGAGGATCGTGCCGAATCATACACAACTGCACCGTAGTCAAGGCGAGACCGAACTAGGGAGTTGTAAAATCGTAAGAGGCGTCGCCAGTTCGATCTTCATGAAATGTGGGACACCTTGAGAACGTTTGAAGAACTTATTTGCGCTTCAACTCCCTCAAATGTGGCACCAAAGTGAGCTTCCTGTCAAGCATTACACCTCGAAATTTGTGTTCCTGTTGAAAAGATATGTCTATGCTATTGAGATGCAAAGTGAGGTCCAAAGACGGATCCCCGGCGCAATGAAAAAGCAACACCAAGTTTTTTCGGTAAAAAACTTGAAACCGTTTTCATGCGCCCATTTGCTCATCCTGTTGATAGTGAGTTGTAGTTGCCGTTCACAACTCGAGAGGTTACATGAAGAGATCTGCACGTCGTCTAGATAAAGAGAATAAGATACCGATGGTCGTATCACCCTTGCAGGACTGTTGATTTTAACAGCAAAAAGGGTAACGCTTAAGACTCCTCCTTGAGAGATCTTATTTTATTTACAAAAGACATCTGACAGTGTGCCACCTAAGCGGACCTGAAAGGTTAGCTCAGCGAGTTTTGTATGCATTGAAGCAAACGGCCAGGCACACCGCAGTTGTACAGATCTCTAAGAATTTGATACCTCCATGCGTTATCTTATGCTTTTTGCAGATCAAAAAATACCGAAACAAAGTGTTGTCGGTGCACAAATGCCTCACGAATAGGGGTATCTAAACGAACCAAGTGATCTGTGGTTGGTCGTTCCTCTCGAAATCCACACTGGTTAATATCAAAAAGTTCTTAGCCTCCAAAAAATAAAGAAGACGTCGATTGATGAGCCTTTCATATGTCTTCCCCAGGCAACTAGTCAGTGCGATGGGACGGTAGCTTGGGATGGAGGGATCTTTGCCATGTTTCAAGAGAGGTATAAAATGAGCACATTTCCAGCAACGAGGAAATGCAGCTTGTTTCCACAAGTGATTAAAAAACGTCATCAAATGGCAAAGTGATTCAGGGGACAGGTGTCTAAGCATTTCATAAAGAATTTTGTCTGGGCCTGGTGCAGCCTGCTTTTTTGTAGAAAGTGCCAATTTGAGTTCACGCATAGTGAATGGTTTGTTGTATAAAAAAGTTGCAGACCTTAACATAGAGATTGACCGCTTTTCAACCGTTGACTGGAATTTTTTGAACTTTGCACTGAAATTAGAGTAACTGTTAATTAGATCATTATTTTTTTTTGTTTGCCAATGTTCGCCAAGGACATTTACTTCATCCTTGAGCGATGCAGAGGAGGAGGAAAAAAATGAAAGACGTTTACCATCCCCTCTTACGCCGAATTATTTTATTTCTTTTATTCTTATTGTTTCCTTTTCCAGTGTTATAGATGTTTATTAATTTTCTCGTATGTTGCAAATATTTTCAGCCATTTTGAACCCTGCATTTGCTAACCACTTTAGAATTTAAATAAAATGGTCAGAGCACATAATGTTTATTGCCGATGTGAAAGGTATAAAACATATTTTTGCAGTTGTGCACTGGGGCCATTTTGACTGGATATACCTGAACATATTTTTTAACATTTTATATCCTTAAAGTGTTAACACACTTGTTATCTTAAACTGATGACCTGTAAGCAGAATCCCAACTTCCTTCGCAGCATTGAAGCTAAACTAAATATTTGCAGCTTAGCTGCCTTCTAAATTAGGCATCCCATGCTCGTTAGGTTTGCGAAACCTATTCTCTGGATATGCCCCTTGCACTGTTCATGATCTTTCGGGGACCAACATTTCTTAGTGCCCAGTCGTCCTAATGAATAGCGTATGGTACGGCGCCTGGAATACGTCTTTGACTGGTGTGTCTTGGCATTCTATACTGCTTTTGCATCGAACGTGGTCCCAAAGTGGTTACAAAGTATGTCGCAGGAGCTGGCATGTCATGCATCGGAGGTCGCAAATCTGCTGGTTTGTCCTTTGCGTTTCAAAAAAGAAGACGAAATGCAAGTGTCGCTTTCGTCACAGCGTCCCAACTCCTCGCCACTAATGCTTTACTGAACTGTAAAACTGATAGCGACCCGTACCAGAAAAGGGGGTCTCCTTCTTCCAGCTCCACTGCTGCGCCATGACCAAGATCGTGGCAGGGTACGGCACGCCACAACTAGGACGTCATCGAACGGAAATCGAGGAACCATAAATGAAGACATAACCAGCACGCGAGTCGGAGGCCTGTTCCAATAAAGGCCTATTGGTGTATTGGGACATTTCAATGGACCAATTCACCAATAGGCCTCTATATGAACAATACACCAACGGGCGTCAATTGGACCAATTCACCGATAGGCCTCAATTGAACCAATATGCCAATAGGATTTTAATGGACCACTAGGTTCCACCTATGGGTTACGAAAGGATTCTATTCGTCTATAGGTTTACTGGACCATAATCTTATACACATAGGATCCTCTATTGAAATTTTTGCTAGGGATTGTTTCGTGTTTTTCGAGCACGGGAGAGCGTGCGTTAGAACAGCATCACTTCATCAACTGTGCGGCGTCGCCGTCGGGAGTGTTTCGAGCTGGCCAAAGGGAAACCATACGCTGCGCCTGTCGGACGCAGTTGAAGGAGGGTGCGAAGAATTGGGCCACTCGTGCTCGATGGTGAACGGGAAAAAGCGACCGGTGCATTTTCGACGACGAGTAAAGACATCGTGATCGGGACAAATCCGTCTGTGTGTACGATTGCGTCGCTCGTTTTCCGAAAAAATCGAGCGGCCTTTTTTCAAAGACGAGTGGAGATATCGTGATAGTGACAACGTCGACCTACCGCGACCCAGGCGATAAGATAAGAAAACGAGCTTCGCGTCCGACTTCCTACGGTTGAGCGACACTCGCATCGGGACATATCGCATTTGTTCGTGGATGAAAATGTGAAATATAATTAGGTGGTGGTAGCTTCTCGAGAAAGGTGCGTTTGCAAAATTTAAATACATGAACAAACTGCAGGGTTTTTATGCATCCGGTGTTACGACGTGGGGAAAGTCGTAAAGGTTTCAAGCAGGAAGATTAGAAGAAAGTGAACTCACTTGTTGATATGTTACCTCTTCCTCTCTGAAGCAATTTGTAACAGTTACTTCGAAAAGTATATAAGTTGAACCACAAAGTACAGAAATAAACACATAAAATTACGCGCTAAAAAAAGAGTTCAGGATTTGGAGTAGAGCATTTGAATTACGTACGGGTCTGCTCCGTGTCCATTCTTTGCAGGCTTCCTCGTCCGGTTGCCGGCGGGGGTAAAAGTGGGTGAGGAGGAGTAGCAGATTCTGTGCGCCGACACCTCCCCCGCGTGAAAGATCGCGAAAGACGGCGACAGAAGACGAGAGAAAGAAACCAATGTTGTCAGCTGAAGGACGACAGTAGCAATGGTTGTCGCGAAAACTGAAAACTCTCAGCAAAATAGACAGTGATTATTTAACGTTGTAAACTAAATTCTGAGTTATTTTAACGCCTATAAAAAGCAATATACTAATTACGCTGCATTAACTTCCTTTCTGTCGAAATGTCGGGAATGTGGTGGTTACGCGGTTTCGTTTCCCGGGGCGCGCTTATCAAAACCATAGCTGCGAAGCTGCTTCTCTGGTTTAGTTTTGCGTTGACGCGACGCCGTACACCCGCGAGTTATGCAAAAAGTAATTAAGCTTCTGAAGGAACGTCAATATCTTTCCACCGGTAAGTACGTGGATTGTTCGTTGGGGCACAAATGAGCAGCACGTTAATGTCACTTGATACTCGGAATGTGAGGATGTCCGGTTTGATTACATGGCGGGCGTGATCGCTTGCTTTCTGACGCGGCGCGGTAGTTCTTTATCGTTCTTTCTCCGGTGGCACAACTCACGCGACCGAAAGAGGTGTAAGAACCCATCCATATCCACTAGAAAGACAACTTGGGAGGGAAAAGAGGAATGGAAGAGCGCAGTGGCCTGATTGAACCACTTATCAGGTGCTTTCACGACGAATCGTGTATTTTGTATTATGTTTTGATTTTATGTGCACGTGTCTGTTTCGTCCTCCGTGCGAATTCCACTGACAGGACTCGACGCCAACGATAATACGATAACTCGCAATAGTCTTTGCCCCGCACCTGAATTCCTTTCTCCGTGTCATCCGTGTCATCCGTGTCACCTGTCGTGCTGCAAAGTTGAAATAACGAGCAGAACTTTCTATGTCGTCTGAAACGAAAGGACGCTCTTGTGTCTGCTCAACAAATCGGGTCCCAAGGATCCCATGTTCGAGCGAGTCTTGCCTTTCTTACGGTACAGTAGCCGCGGCGGAGTGTTGTGGTCGAAAAAAAGAAATTAACTTATGCTGAATGTATGACTATTTCGCCGTAGACGGCCCTGGGAATGTTTCGTTTTTTTAATAAAACGGGTTTTGCTGATTGTTAACGCTCAGTACTACGAGTGTTAATTATTCTGGACGGCTTATGGCCAGGGCGAAATGTCATGTCACGTCCTAAAACACTGGCTGTGATCCTAGCGTGTGTTGTGTTTTATTGACGGTAATTATATCTGGACCACAAAAAGTTTTTTTTTTTTTCGCAGGACATGCTTTTAATCAAGTGATTTGTCAGTTTAAATGCACGCTCTTAATAAAATGACCCATCCATTCAGATAATTTGACAAATCTAGTAGCACCTTGCCTTTGTTTCATTTTTAATATTTTAATTGAGTAAAACGATTTCGTACTTTCTGTTGTTGTTTCTTAAATTCGAGTTCGGCCTTTAAATTGTATGCCTCTTCAGAATGCAACATTTCTTTTAGCATTAACTCTGTGAAGACTCATTGTCATCCACACTTTATATGCTAGGAGCATTCACTTCTTCACTGTAATTACCAAAATAATAAACGTGGTGCTGCTGATGATTTTAATAAGCTTGGCAAAGCCCAGGTTGTATATAAAAGAAAATGGGTGCAGGACTGCCCTTGCTTTTTTTTTTTTTAATATGAAACAAAGATCAGACAAAGAAAACTTGTAAGTTTATTTCGAGGGAGAAAATAAGGACAGCAATGAAACCATTGATCGTTCTCCAATGAAATGAGACAAGGAAGTATTTTTAAGCTGTCAATTAAAGTTTGAATATAATACGTAAATTTAAAATATTAGTGATAAAAATAACACTCTAGTTAGCAGCATTGAAGCTTGGGTTGAAAAAGTCAAATCTGGTGGTTTTTTCGTGCCAAACCAACGACAGGCATCTGGTACGCCCCAGCGGAGGACTGAGGATTAATTTGGACCACTTGGGGATCTTTTGACGTGCAACTGAAACCTCGGTTACACGGCGCCTTCTGCGCAATAAGTAGTACTCCGTGTTTTCGGAGTTTATTTTTCGTCAAATTCGGAGGGTGTTTTTCGGAGTTTATTTTTTGCCGAAGATTCGGAGTTTATCGGAGTTTATATTTTTTGGATTCCCAATTCTCCGAAATCGGAGTTTAATTTCGCTGTGTTTCCTATTAAAATAAATATATAAATAAATAATAACCGAATGTAAACGTATGCCAGATAAAAAAAGAAGACGCGCTTGTATCAATTGATATATTTTCAGTTGAATTTGGCGTTGGTGCCATTGCCATTGGCAATACTAATTTATCCATCGGATTTAGAAACAGCGCGAAAAGGCGAGGATCAGACAAAGAAGTGACACGGACGTAGTGCTGTTTATCCTCGACAAAAGTCACACACGAGTGGCACTTCGATAAAGGCCGATACCTTAAAATCAATAAACTCCCGGAGGTAGTTGCTAGGAAGCTCGTAGTCATCCCATCCTATTTCATCAATCAAGCCCGCGGCCGCGTGAAGTGGAGTACCACCCCCCCCCCCCCCCCCCCCCTAGCAAACGGCGTTCGGAAAATCGGCGTTCGTTGCCATGGTGACGGCAGTGAAAGCAGAGGGCTTTTATGGTGCGGAAGAACACTGCGGCCCAGCAATACGAGGTGCGTGCTGAGGCCCTTCCCGCATACTTTTCAAAGGGCGGAAGCGAACAAAATGAGTTGAACTCTGCAGATAAGGATTTATCCGAAAACACGGAGCCCTAGCAATAAGCCTCCTTCATATAGGGGGCACCTCGGCCGGGATTCGAACTAACCACCTGGGGATCGAAGACAATGCCACACACAGTATTTGTAATCGTCCGCACAAATAAGAAAAAAAAAAAGAAACATCGTATAGAAAATAAAAAAAAAAGACAAAATGAAAAGTTTCTAGTGAGACAGCCTAGCTGAACAAAAGCCCATTCAGCTTTGAAGCGACGTCGGGAGCGTCGGCAGTCCTCACTTTGGGTTGTGCCGGGCTCCGGCTAGATGGCGACACCGAAACGTTCGGACGCAAATAAGACGCAAAGCTAGTTGGTAACCATCTGTAGGACTCCAAAGGTAGTTCTCGCGTAGCTGTTTGATCGACTGAGCACGAACTTTGGTTTTACTTTTGTTCCAACGCGCTAAAGAGGACCGTCACTATTAAGGCACAAGTGTAGGTTTTCATAATATTTGTGGGTGGGTACTTTTGCTGTATATAATATTAAAGTATTGAGCTGGGTAGGTCCTTAAAACTTGTTCGTGTGTGTGTGCGGGGGGGTGGGGGTTGCATTTTTATTGATGGACATACTTTAACGGATATGCTGCTTTTTGCAATAATTTCACAGAAATTATATTTACAGGCTAAATACACTACCAGGTGTAAAGCTGAGAGGGGAGAGAGGTTCTGTGTGCCTTTCTCGCCCTAACTATTTTTATTACAAAGGTAATAAGCAATATTATTCGGTATCAAAAAAAAAAAAAGAAACTCTCAATCATTATCATAGATGAACTTATTTAGCCACGCAATCACGTTTTCATTTTGGGGTGATGCCCTAAGAGATGTTGGCATCTGCTTCAAAAGCGTCGGTGAATGCTCCAAACCAGTATTTTTCCTTCTACAGAGTCTGCTACAAAAGGTCAGATGCCGCTTCCATGACTGTAGAGTGACCACCCGCAAATTTCGATCGGAGTTTTGTAGTTCGCTTCTGTCTTGAGTTGACACACCACAAGTAAATAGTTAAACGTTTTTATACCCATCGTCCCTCATTCTATCTTGCTCGTAGCATATCGCTATACCTGTGAATGAGAACCATCCCATATCCAATTGTGCCCACTGATTCAGTATTTTGCCACGTGCTTCAAGAGCTAGCCCACCTAGCCCGCACTGCTTTGCTTCAAGCCCCATTTGAACATTAGGTTTAAACACCAGAACTGCATTTCCAAAAGTTAAACCTGACATCATAACTCTCTTCCAGATCTCCCTCACCACTTTGTACCTGTTAACTTCACAATGTTCTCTTCTTTATTACAGTTGTATTTTTGTTGCCCTTACCATATATATATATATATATATATATATATATATATATATGTCCACTGGGTATTGTGTACTTTCCTGAGTACTGTGGTCGGTTTGCCTTGCTGCAAACCCGACCCGGAGGAATAACACGGAGCCAACGGTTTCAACAACAAGAAACTACCTTTAATAGGACATGGACGAGGCGATTAACATGGTTACCAGCGGTGCCGGAGTCCAGGCAGCGACTCCCTGTGCGCCGCCTCTGATGCGCCTTATCAAGGCGGCGCACGCGATGTGCGCGTGGCTGGCGTGACGTCGCCGCCACGCGGGAAAAGTTCGGCACTTTTGCCTCGCAGTCGGGCAACTGGGCTGGGAAGCCGCCAGGGTGCCCACATTACATATCCTTAAATACCTATTAACCATTAAATTGTTATTCGGAAAGTTTAAATGTTTGAAGTTACAAAAAGGCACTTCGAACCTTAACAAAGTCAAAAGCTTCTTTTTATCATAAAATGTTAGGCTTTCCCTAATTCCTCCTTTACAATAAAAATATAAGATGTGGAACAATATCGGCGGTGTTGAAAAATTATCTTAGCTGCTGGAATTTAATGTTAGCGAAAATAATAATATAATTTTTTTTCTATCTATGAGATTGCAAGTATTGAACCATGAAACGAACACACATACGCATCAGTGAACACTCCTCCCTTTATTAATGCGAACAAAACATTAAAAGTGGAAGGGAAGGGAGATATAAGGTATATTCTTTAACAGGTGTGTTTATAACAAAGCAGTTACCAAATAAAAAAAAAAAAATGTCGCGAAAACTATAGCAATGGGTTGCCAGTCTTCAAAAATGCTTCATGTGTTACCATCTGCTTACCGCGAAATGGTAACTTTATCATTGTCACGCATAGTGACCGAAAATATTTTAAGAGTCATGCACACAAAGAAAAACTAAAACAAAGAGCGTTCCGAAGTTACACTTCACCTGCTTATAAGGAGGACAACTTGTTACAGCTTCTTGATCAATGCAGAACACCCACCCAACAC